ATATAATTTAAAATATTAAAAAATAAATTTTATATTATTTAATGAGTAACTATTTTTATTTTTTGATTTATGATATTGTATGCATCAATTAATTTAATAACATAATATAAATTATTGCATTAGTGTTTAATTTTTATTTTAAATTTTTGTTCTTCCTATTATTATTTTTTAAAAGTAAAAAATAATAAATTTTAAATTTAACTTACATGTATATAACTAACGTGAGTTAACTAATTAACTAATGGTTAGTATTAGGTTAATGGATTTGTTCAAGGAAGGAGTCAGAGGCACGGTCAGTTGGTTTCCTTCTTCTTGATGGGTTTATTGAATCTTAAATCTCCAGCCATGTGAGGGAGTAGTTTTGTTCTTTAATTAGTATTGTATTTGTTTATTTCAATTTTTAATGTTGACATGAAAAATTAAAACAAGAGAGATATGCGGCTGCGGGCAGAAACACCAAAGCCGCCAACGATGCTCCTGCCGTGTTAATTACAACATAAAAATTGCCTGAATAATAACAAATGATGTGTATATCCACTCTCAACTGGGAGATTCCTTAGAACCGAAGCCCTCAAGTTCAAACTGATTTAATTTTCTTAAATATTGTTTTTTTTTTTTTCATATTAATTTTGTTACAATTCAAAATTTTGCACATTTTTAGTGATTATAGACATATATAATACTTTTTTCAAAACAATTATCAAATAATAACAAAGTTTTTGTGAAAGTAAAATACTCAAAAAACTATAATCATAACATTTTTGTTATGAAATTTATATGTTTAGGACCATTCAATTTTTTTTTTCTTTTTCCCTTTCAACAATCTCACAACTTTCTTCCTTATCTAAGTCTAGAGAGCAAAAAAATTTTCTAGTTTCAATCTTCTTTCTTCAACAATTTATGCATAGAGGTCTCTTATGAAATGTTCTACTAGCTAGGAATTAGAACCTTCATGTTGAAGATTTTAAGTTCAAATTTTAAAAAAAGTGAGGAGGAGTCTAGAAATGAAAGGATTGTTCTATATTGTTTAACTCATTATCTAATTTCAAAAAAGAAGAAGAAGAAGAAGAAGAAGCTTATGCATAGGAGAAAAGGCCAAACGAGGCAAGTGAAGTTGGCATAACCCCCTAAAAGCACTCAATCTACTTGTCTTTATGACCACTAGCCATTCAACATATACTTTATATACTTTAATCCATAAATTTTATGTTATTATTATAATTGATTAAAAATAAATAGAATTTCATGTGAGCCACATGGCCGTCTCTATTCAATTATTCTATTTTCATTAATGTCATGTTAGCATAAATATGGCCAACTTTGAACCATATAATTCGTTATTATAATGTATTTTTACAATACAAAAAATTTTAATTATTTAGTAACAAGATGTTGTAATTTATTTTTTCTTGTATGATTGATAACTTTTATTTAGGGGTTCATTTATGATATTCTATATGTATATTTATTTAATA